TGACTAAATATGACTTTGATTAATCTTGGCCCATGAGCGCACATTCTACTCTTTCAAAGTTTAATGCACCTTTTAATTTTTTTATTTATTTATTTATTTATTTTTTACATCTATGGCTTTTTAGTTTGTAATAAGTAAGAAGCCCTTGAATGTATTAGAGGGGCACTTTCAAAAGTTGATCAAGGGCCACTAACCAGCCCATAGGATTGGCTACATAATATGGTTACTAAATTAATCTAAGGTCCTTTTGGCAGCAGTATAAAGAGTGATGTAGCAGTTCAGTGAGCTCTGTGTTAGTGAATGAAACATGCTGCAGCCCTGAGGAATCAAATTATTTGCTGTTCTGCAGTACAAAGGCGAGAATTTCATGAAAATGAGACCAATGCCTGCTGTAGGCTTTTGTGGACATGTCCATTTGTTACTAACAGTCAAGAGTAACAGCTTGATTTTAAGGAGACCTGCGTCGCTACATGACCTGTGGGGCAGTACTGTGCTATAGACAAGGGAATGTATCTGATGTGATTAATGTTTTTGGTAAAGAGTCCAACCTCAGTAGCACCAAAAGGTAAATAATCAGGCTTGAAGCCAAATTTTTAGGGTGGGCTTCACAGTACAAGGTAAGATGGTAAATGGAAAGTATGCTGACACGTGGCAATACCATTTCTATAAAAGCGTTCTTGTGTGTTAACATAGAAATAGCATTTTTTTACTAGAAAAGATTGGTGTAAAAGATCAGCATTGTTTCCTTTCCTGAGTCTGCTGTCAGTCTATTGTACCCCAATAAGTTGACCATAAGGAGCATCACTGAGCATTTAACCATGTTTAACATATAAAGAGGCTGTAAATTGCAGGACATGTTGTGCTGGACTAAACCCTGGAATGTTCTGGTGTCTGACATCTTATAGTGCCAGTCTTTAGCCTGTATGTGTACCCTGTGTTTTAGATCATTTGACTGATTGGCTTATAAATCTAATACAGCCGTTTGTAAAGGTATATTTATGTGCAACTTTCTTAAAATAGAAGATTTTACTGTATGTAGTGGTTTTCAGAATATTTTGGGTGTTGACTCTGAGACTGATAACCTGTAATAGGAAGTTTTAACATCACTGAGTTGGTATTGTCTTTCCTGGCTCTGTACCGTCTGAAGAACTGGGTAATTAATATACACACACTTGGCATCAAGACGTAATAGCTTTGCTCCATAGTTTGGACTAAGAAAAGTCTTTCTTTAAAGATTCTGCTGAAGAAAACATATAAACATGCTTATTCTAGCCATTACACATGCAGTTAAAAAATCTTTGAAAATTAATGAGATTTTGCATATCACTTTGGCAAGGGAGGAAATGTATGTATTTTTTCTGCTAGTCTTATATTTCAACATTCTACCCTTGATTTAACATATTGAAAAAAAAAAAACTTTTGTTCCTTTACATAGAAAAAAACATCTTTCTTTTTTTGATATGTCACTGCACAAAAAGAGCAACAGACAACAAAATGAATCCACAAGTCGAAAAAGATAAGCAAATGAGAAAAAAGAAGTTGCATAATTCATTTCACATTGACAAACAGAAAAGTAGACTGTGGAGAGTGGTGGACTGTTGGAAGAACTGGGGCCTGCTTTTACCTAGTGTACCCACTGACTGGATAACTGCAGGAGTGGTGAGTCACTAATGAATACTGGATAAATGTAAACCGAACAAAACCAGGACACATTTATGGCCCTCTACGTCCTTGCACTGTGTGTGCACATGTTTTTCCGACCTGAAGGAAACCAGACATAACAACAGAATCCAAGAGGAGGAAACTGAACTCAAGCTGCTGTTCTCACATTCAGATTTGCTTGTTTGTCCTAGAATGAGTGTTTGTATCTACCATTCACTAAAAATAGGCCTCACACAGCATTGAACTACTCTGTGGAGATTAGATCAGTGCTGTACTACGCAGTGACTGTCCAGCAGGAGCTGCGTATAGTACAGGACACTGGCTTGGCCTTTAAGCTCAAGGTCAGCATTTAAGCCTAGCTAGAACAAATAGGTCTCAGTAACTGAGGGAAGCCATGACTCAAGCTCTATTATTAGGCATTCTGGCATGCCCTGTCAGTGTATTTGTCCTTCCCAGTGCATACAGTAAACTGCACCGGTCCCAGTGAGCCTCACAGAAGTTCTTCAGAGGAGTCCAAATCTGGGGATAATCACCTGTAAGAGTCACAGAGATTATGGGAGTGAAGGAGTGGGAGTGGAAAAACAGAGAGTTGGGGGGATTTCTTCTTCTACATCAGTTGTTGCTTTAGCTCTGGCTAACGTGTGTTTATGGTGCCTACACTTACTGTCGTGTCACGTCAAGGTGTCTCCAGAGCAGCAACACTGATATTTTCTTCTAAAAGAAATGAAAAAGCTGCATTTAAAATGCGGACAGTATATTTGCATGTGGGTGCGTTTCATTTTGCTTCATGTCTGTTAAAGAGAATGTAAAGGAACCTACTCGACTAAAGTTTCTCTCTCTACCTGGGGCCACATAGGATGTTTAAATGGTGCTGATGCAACACCTTTTCCTTCAGCATAATGACCTAGGAGTTGTCAAAAGGCATTGTGGGACACTAATCGAAGTAGAAGCAGATAAGGCAATTTGAACGAAAGTGGATACAAAACATGATTTCTTTCTTTCTTTCAACAATTAACTGCAATATAGTGGCAGAAGTTGACTGAGGTTCAAAATATTGTAGTGTCTGCTATGTGGCTAATGTGTTGTGCAGTGTCATACAAACGCTGTGTGAGAGTAGCATTAGTGCATGGGTGGCCCCTGTAAGAATCAAACCCCCATATGTGGCAGCGCCAAGCTACAGCAGTGTCAGGCTACATAATGCCAGAGGTAGGTAGGTAGGAAGGTAAGATTCTAATTTCACACACAGAAATGCCATGGCTAAAGCACAGACAACTAATCTGTGACAGGATGTTGAGACCAGGGTTAAGCCGCATTTGTGGATTTTTTCTTAGCTGGTTGATAAACAATAACATTACTGTACCAGGATCAGTGAACATGAACTGCTTCAAACAGACAAAATTTGGGTTTGGCATGAACTGCTGTGTATGCTTGTCCCAGTCACTCAAGCCTCCTTCACACAGAGGACAACAGCATGCTGGTCCAATGTGTTTCTGTGTGTGTTCAGGTAAGAAATCGTTTAATTTTATATACCACATATATACCACATGTAGTCAGTGCTTAATTTGTAAATTATTAGGTGGTGGAGCGCGTGAAATGTGCTGCCCACCGAAAATTATTGATTAATAATTTATGATCAAATAATGAATTATTTATTAACATATGGCATACCTGCACATTGTTTTAAAGGGCAGTAAACAATAAATAAGGAAATCTAGACTTACCCTGTTAGGCTGGATGAAATCTTAGATTTTATTTGTGAAAAAGGCAGTGCATTGATGGAGCGCACTTTAGACAGTACAAATTAAGCACTGCATGTAGTCCACTGAACTGTCCCTTTGTCTGGTTTCACAGGCCCACACTGTGATTGCTCCCTGTTTCAAATTATGCACTTGTATATGTGTAAGTGAATAAGTTCCTTCAGTCTGCCACTCTCTCACTCGTCTGCATTAATCAAGGTGCAATGCTCTCTGTCATCTTTATCTTTTTCTTTCATGTTATTCTTTTCTCTTACAAGGCATGCATGCTGAAATCCAGTAAGGAAAGAAATGCAAAATGAAAACCACTGAGATTCAAAAACACACCTGTCCCTAAATAGTTACTACTCATCGGTTGCAAAGCTTGATCATCCAAGAAACATCATGTCATGTAAACATGCCTTTTCAAATGGCTCACAGGCCTTAATAGCCTGAAACTGTGCAGCTAATTTGGAAGAAACCCAAGGCTCTCTGTAAAAAACACATAAAAATGGTGTGTTTAACAGCTGCATTGTTCTACGTTTTGAATGCAGTTAAGTAACAATTGCAATTAAGATTTCCTAAACAATAGCAAAGAAAACAATCAGCTGCACAGCCTCAATGCATTTCAAAACAAAGCTCACAGACATGTCCCTTCCCACCCCCATACATGTCATTAATCAGTTTCATCAGTGCGAAATGCTTTAAACTAAACAAAAATGAAAAAAAGACAGACAGTTTATACATTTGAAAAAAAACAGCAACATGATGTGCCAACCAACCTGCTCGCAAAGATAAATAAATCTATTTGGATATATTCTAAATGGATAAATAATATTACCTTGATATTCTCTATATAACTTCTCCACAATAATTAAATATCTCAAGGATGGCACCATCGCTTTCTCAAAAAAAAATCATAACTCATGGTGATATATTTTATAAAATTTGTTTAAAGTTGTAATAAAGTGATCTGCTCCCCTCCTCTACAAGCTCCTGTTCCCTTCCTCTCTTCTCCTCTCTTTGTGTCTCTCAGCGCACTGGAATGTTGGAAGGAGGGAAGTTTGGTTTGTGCTTTGGGAGAGGGCAACGTTTACACACTGTTTGTCCATTTGTTCATTAGTTCCTCTCCAAAGTTTATGCAGAAAGAGAGCAGCGAGGGTCATTACTGTCATCCGAAGCCCCCGTGGTCTATATAGCTGCCAACCGCAGAGCAGCGAGAGCGAGTGATAGGGGAGAGGAAAGAAGAAAAACATATTTATGGTACACGCTATGTTTGTGTTAAAATCATCTTTTGCCAAGAGACAAAACATAAACATCGTCAGTCTTTTTCTCTTGGTTTTGGCTCGTGACGATGTTCCAACACAGGCGAGGCTGACACTGATCAGAGGCAGCTCCTTCTCTCTTGGCTTCAGTCTACCTCAAGTCTCTGGCAAGGAGAGGAAGCGAAAGAAAAACGTTCCTTCTCTCTCTCTCTCTCTCTCTCTCTCTCACAAACTCACCTTAGTTCTTCATGGCCTTGACAGTTCTTCCGTTCCACTTTTATGTTGCTGCTCGTCCTCTGCCCCCCCCCCCCCCCCCCCTCCCCCCCCATCCCCTATCCTGCCCTCCCTTTTTCATTGAAGCTGACACAGTCCAGAAGAAAAGCACCATGGGATGCATCAAACACCACCGTCATCCTCCAATATACCCCAAAGAAAACAATACCCGCTTCCCCTCGTCTTCTCATCTCTTATCCTTCCCTCTCCAGCCCCATGAGGATTTGATTTCTCACTTTAAAAGAAAGGACAATACCCGCTTCCCCTCGTCTTCTCATCTCTTATCCTTCCCTCTCCAGCCCCATGAGGATTTGATTTCTCACTTTAAAAGAAAGGAGGGGCTGAGGAGAAGGTAATTAGTTAAAAAAAAAAAAAAAGACAAAAGTATAAAATGGCAGTTGGAATATCCCCCCGTGAGACCAAAATGTGTTCATTTGCAGTGCAGAACTTTCTGTCCTCTGTTGCCCTCTCTCTATCATTTTTAATTGTCTTCTCTCTCTACACTATCTTGACTCTCAAAGTCATCGAGCTGGAGGTTTGGTCTTTTTACATTCCATCGTCACAGAGGAGGGGTCATCTTGTTCGACCTGCACACCATCTTCATTAAATTAAAATCATAATTAATTAATTTTGTCTCTCTCATCCTGCTCCTCCTCTTTTTCCTCTCTTCATCATCAGACATAGGCAGATTCGCTGGACTGTGTGCGTCCGAGGTTGGGCGGCTGAGACAGGTGCGCCATGTCCTTCTTCCTGATCTCACAGATAGACTTCCTGCGGGCCTGGACACCCCTGATGGCGGCCTTTATCTTGCGCCAGCCCAGATGGTTGAGCTCGGCGAGGTTGAGTACTACGCAGATGCCACTCACTGCAAACATGAACACCAGGAAAACTGTTTTTTCCGTGGGGCGGGACACGTAGCACTCCACCTCCTTCAGACACGGGTACCGGTCACATTCGAAAATCCCAGGCACACTAAAGCCGTAAAGGAAGTATTGGCCCGCCAAGAAGCCAATCTCCAGTGCATTTCTGAACACCACCTGAATGATGTAAAAGCGGGAGATCCCTTCTTGCCGGCGAACCTTAGAGCTCTTCCCGTGGGTGAGGCCCCGAGGGGCGTTGGGAATCTCCTTCACCTCCAGACAGTCGGCTTCTTCCTTCCCTCCTCCACCATCACCGCCATGTTGAACTAGAATGCCATTAATGTTGCGAAGCTTTCGCGCCCCATCCCGTCCACCGTAGTCCCTCTCCATTATGGGATAGAGAAAGGAGTAGCGCCGGTCTTTCTGCTTGGCCGACTGGTGGACGGAGTAGGTGATGAAGCAGAGGCTAGGCGTGCACACCAGTATGATCTGGAAGACCCAGTAGCGGATGTGAGAAATGGGGAATGCCTTGTCGTAGCAGGCCTGGTTGCAGCCTGGCTGCAGAGTGTTACAGATGAACATAGTCTGCTCATCCTCGTACACTGTCTCCCCCACAATTGCCACGATCAAGATACGGAAGATCACCACTACTGTTAGCAGGATCCTAGAAGAGAAAGAGATAGAAAAAGGGGTCAATAGTCAGAAATGCAGTGATTTACTTTCAGGAAGGAGGAGCTATCCTTCCCAGCAGAGGTTCTACAGATGTGCTGAGTGTGAGAGAACAGTGTTAGAAAGCAGGAAAGATGAATAACAGAGCTCTAAGCGGTATGTGTGGAGAAAACCAGGCACTGCTCATCACCTGTCCAATACAGTTTCAACAGTGAAGCATGGTGGTGGCAGCATCATGCTGTGGGGGTGTTTTTCAACTGCAGGGACAGGACGACTGGTTGCAATCGAGGGAAAGATGAATGCGGCCAAGTACAGGGATATCCTGGACAAAAACCTTTTCCAGAGTGCTCTGGACCTCAGACTGGGCCGAAGGTTTACCTTCCAACAAGACAATGACCCTAAGCACACCGCTAAAATAACGAAGGAGTGGCTTCACAACAACTCCGTGGCTGTTCTTGAATGGCCCAGCCAGAGCCCTGACTTAAACCCAATTGAGCATCTCTGGAGAGACCTGAAAATGGCTGTCCACCAACGTTTACCATCCAACCTGACAGAACTGGAGAGGATCTGCAAGGAGGAATGGCAGAGGATACCCAAATCCAGATGTGAAAAACTTGTTGCATCTTTCCCAAAACGACTCATGGCTGTATTAGATCAAAAGGGTGCTTCTACTAAATACTGAGCAAAGGGTCTGAATACTTATGACCATGTGATATTTCAGTTTTTCTTTTTTAATAAATTTGCAAAAATTTCTACATTTCTGTTTTTTTCTGTCAAGATGGGGTGCTGAGTGTACATTACTGAGAAATAAAATGAACTTTTTTGATTTTTGGAAAATGGCTACAATGAAACAAAGAGTGAAAAACTTAAAGGGGTCTGAATACTTTCCGTACCCACTGTAAATTTTTTGTATCAAATTTAACTTTGATGATTTTGACCAATAGCAAGCTGTCTTGATAATGCAGACCTCTGGGGGAGCAAAGAGCGTTCTAAATGGAGGAAGCTATTGTAGCTCATTACAACAATGGACAGAACAATAGTTTGCAGACAATTTTGAGACAGAAGTTGATGGTGTGTCCCATTAGCAACCAAGCTAACAATCTTGCTAATTTACAGTTAACGCTCGTAAACTGACAGCAAGCTAGCCGGTTTCTGGCCATTTCCCCCCCTTCAATAACTCTTTGAAATTATGCTGGCTACAGTCGCCTACTGAGAGCAAACTGGCAACAGGGAGTAAAAGTACCGTACAGAGTAAATAGAGAGCTATTGTGACTGAGCTTGTGTGACTGAGCTTGTTGTAGCATGTTAGCCTTGTGAGCATTCGCCTATTTTGCAAACCCGCATATGGATTTCACTAGAACACTTACCATGTATGAGCGGGCCTAAATAATAAGTGTATTTGCAACGTGACAAATAATTTACTTTCAGCAATTTTTATGCATCAAACCTTTCAAACATCTGAGTAATTATGATAACGGTAGCCTAGCCCAACTGTAGAGAGTGTATGGAGGGAAAAGTGTGAGAAAGCAGAAAAGATAAATAAAAATAGGTAAGAGAGCTGGTAAAGGATGAATGTAAATGTACAGAGGCAAGATTTTCAATCTAGTATTTTGTAAAAGCAACTTTGAAAATAGTAAAAAAGTGTTAACTGGACCATATTCTCCATGTTTTTGCGTCTAAGTAATTAATGGAGAGTGGACTGTAGGCAAGAGTAAAAAAATAAATAAAAGGAAGGAAGGAAGGAACACTTGCCTTTAAAATGTACATAAAAGGGCAAGTGGAATTAGATCCTGGAGAAATCTGATGAAGGATGCATAAATAAATTTAAAAAGGCAGAATCAAGGGTGAGAGGAGGGATTATAAAGTTAATAAATTCAAAGCAGGGAGCTTCAGGAAGGACTTTGAACTCCTTAATCAGAAAAGAGAAGTGAGAGAACAGGCACAGAGGCAGGGACAGGAGAAAAAAGCTGTACTAATGATGGAGAAGGATATTGTGTCTCTGTTAAGTAGCTCTTCCTCCTGATGAGAAACAGAGAAGAAGAATGCTCTAAATCTAATTTAACAGCCAGAGTAAACACTTCAGAAGAAGGGCAGTTATGAGTGGAGCCTCAAGGTCGTCAGTGCTCATAACTCACAGCCTGTAATCTGTGATGTATCATGTGATTCAAGACGCAGTTTGTTTTCTAAGGGTGTTGTTTACAGGTAAAAAGATGTGAGATGACACATCTTGTCTAATTTTGGTGTCTTCTGCATCATTTGGCCCAGTTACCATGGCAATCTCAGATTAGACTCGCTTAAATTGAACCTGTGATTAGTTTCTGCACACATCCAAACACACACACGATCATTCAGAGAAATCTTTCAGTTGTTGACTTTGTTTTAAACAATACAGGTTCTCTCTCTCCGCTTTCACTGCCCTAGCAACAGATGAGACTGAGGTGAACCTTGTTTGCAGATTAGGTGCTATTTCTGTGTGGGGTGTGGTGAGACGGGTGAGGCTGAGAGATAATTGTTGCTGAAATTGGTTTCACTTCAATTCACTCTGCATGTGTGCGTGTTATTGTGTGTAAGCATATGCTTAGAAGTGCTGACTTGGCCTCATCTGCACACTTTGTGTGTGTCTCTTTGCTTCATGATGTTACACACACACACACACACACACACACACGGTAGACGAACTACAGGTTTCTATTCCTCCTCCCTGTTCTGTTTGCTATTTTTGCCAACATCTCTCTCTTTGTTCTTTTCTTACTTTATTCATCCCTCATTTATTTTTTAGATCTCAGAGCGAGCAAGCACTTTAGATAGCAGGCTTTTTGCAGTCTATGCGAGCCTGTTGGCTGTCTCCCACTATAATCTGTGACTAAACAAAGTCTGGAACAAGGATACAGACTGCAGACAGGTCTGGACATTGCTGTTAATCTGTTGATTGATTGCTGCCTTGTATTTCAGTCCCACAGATATGAGGGAGTTCAAACTGAGTTCTGCATACTGTAAAATCAACTCTCACTAATCACCCACATTTATATTAAGGAGGATCCCATAAATAAGGGTATGATAATTTTTATTTATTACTTCATATGAACCCAGAGTACACACATTACAGTAGCCCATCAAAACCTGACCTCGTTACATTTATCATGGATTTATGGGGGGGGTTGTGCATACAAGTCAATAGATGGTGACATATAAAAATGGCTTTGGAGGCAGTGCTGATGGGAAGTACAGCATGTTGCAAGAAGTGCAATTAATTCCTGAGAAAATGTCAATGTGCATAACACAGAGAATTTCAATTTAAAGAGATAAAGCCTCACAACAAACATACTGTAAATGGCTTTCAGACTTTAATGGGAAATCATTACTAACCAATATTACATGTGTCATTTTGTCAAGTCACTCAGGTATGTGCCTATTCAGGACCTTGTCACATTTCAGGAACATTTTCTACACAGCTCAATGGCTTTGGAGGCAGTGCTGATGGGATGTAATGCTCTAAATGTGAATAAACGCACTTTTGTGTTTAATAGGACATTGTGTATGAAGTGCAAACAAAACACAAGAGACTAGGAGGCGACACTTTAAATGCTGCCCCTTGAGCAAAGAAATAATTTCGAAGGGGTAGATTGATGCTAAAGTGAGAACCATGCTATGTTGCAGTATTCAAAACACCTTCTTCATTACACATAACTTCTTACATTTCCTAATGTCATGTGACAGATGCCAGATATTACAAGAGCATTGCAGCCATAATGGTCCAGTCATGTTAGAACAGTGAACCTCTGTAACAAATACAGTATGTGTAAAAACAGAACGTTGTACTGTAAAAGATAAACCAACATCATTACAAATTACAAGTCTGAAAGGGAATGTAGTTGTTGGCAACATTGCCACATAAGGGAAGACGTTGCAGCATTGGCTTATTTAGTTTAATGGTGTATTTAATTATGTCAGTAGATTTAGGGCTGCATAAAGAGTATAATGGAAAACACTGATGGCAAAATATGATTTAGCAATCTAAAAACTAACACTCACACTTCTTGCAAGACTGATCAACACAGAGATATTTCTCATACACTTTCTCTGACAGCAATCGACAGCTTTCCATTTAAAATCCTACCTTAACCTCAATCCTCCATTTCACCTGCAACTCTCTCTCAAGATAAGTCCGGATATATTAGATAAAATCATCGAGAGGCAGCAGCTGTCGCTTGAATTTACCTCAGGCCAATCTGCTGCATTTCATAGGATGAGGACTATTTGTGCACAATCAGTATAGATTTATCAACCTCAATTAGAAGAGCTGCTTATCTGGAAGCCATTGTGACTGGACACTGGATCCAGCGGGAGGCCCATGCCACTGCACCTTAGACGTTGCCAGATAATCATTAGATGGCATTTGGCTGTGTGAAGGGTAATCTACCAATCGCACAGTGGCTTTACCAGTCTTGTGTGGCGCAGATGTGGAGTCGAAGGGCAGAGTTAATCCTTTCCAGAGTCTGACGGTGTGTGGTTCACATGTATCTGTCATCAAAACGGCAGGTCATCAGGGATGACCTCCAAAATGAAAAATAAAAAGACTTATTGCCAATCCACCCACCTGTGATCAGCTGGCATGTGGAGGGGGAGAGAAGGGGGGAGAGAGGAAAAAATAATGTAAAAAAAAATGAAAATGCTTTTGCCCTTGTACTGACTCCATTAAGGAGCTTAGTGAGCAGAGAATTCACAATGCCAGAGTGAGTTAGTGCACAACACACAAACGTATTCTGTATGGCCACACACATGCACTCTCGCACACATGTCCATGCAACACAACACCACCCAGACAGTGAGTGGAGACTGTTCAACACAAACTGAGTGCTGAAAGAAGATGTCAAGAAGATGTCAAATTCCTGTTTAAGATGAATTAGTTCCAGACAGGGATAAAAAGATTATAAAGTCACCAAAAAACCAAGTGTGGCTCAGACATCTTCTCCTTAAATTAAAAGAGAAACCTGC